ATTTTTTTTTTTTTGTAATGAGATGCTACTAGTAAATAATCAAACTGAGGGAGGAGAACATAGAGGAAATGAAATTAGTGAAAATTAAATATATCGCCTAACAACAAATAATTGATATTATGATAGGAAACACTTGGATTTCCAAGTGTTTCTCACCAAAACCCAATAGATCTACTGATCTAGGATGAAAACTGCTGTCCACACAGTAAAAACAGCCAAAAACAGTGGAATTGGAGAGAATACGAAGGAGAAAACGTAAGAAAAACAAAGCAAACACTTTTATTCTAATAAGGGATGAAAAGCACTTGCAAGATACAACTTTCCTTCAATTCGAGAGGAAGGAAAAACTCTCCAAATCTCTAGCCGTAGCCTAGAGCCCAAGAACACAAACCCTAGATCTCAAAAATGATTCAAATTCAAGATGAGCCCCTCTCCCTCCTAATCCTCTTAATTAACAATCAAGGATTCCTACAAATTACCTAAACAGCCCTTTGCATTCAAAAATTTCCCTCCCACATAATTAAATCAGCCCCAAGTGGGGTCCACCTTGTCCGCCCCCTCCTCTGGGCGTTTCCGCCCCCGCCTGGTGTAGACCCGGGCTGAACCGGGTCCAGCCGGCCCCTCCTGGGCCGGTTCACGTGTAACATATTAACATGAAAATGAGAATGATATGGAAACCATTTTTAATTAACTAGTAAAGTTGTACATTCATCAACTACAGTAACTCATATTAATTTCACTTTAAAATTAAATTAATATTGAAATAGAATTTTATGATTTAATGATTTTAAATTTGAAACACTGCCGTTGCGAGGTCCCAAGTCCTGGATGAGAAAATTGGAGAGTTGCGTTTGGTAGTTGACAACCAGCATAAAATTATTCGAATATTCATGAGATGAATTCTTTAATACATTGTGTTAATGTTAGGGTGTTTCCTGGAAGCAACGCGTTGTATGGTCTGAATACAACCACAAGTGTATAAGGGTCGTTGCACCGACGCCCAAGTGCAATGTTAAATATGCAAGGTTTCCCACATCATGGACGGATGTGGGCAAAGAAGATACTCCATGAAACTAAAATTTGAATATGATCTTAGAATATAAGTTCCCTTACAAGCAAATTAATGTAAGTAATAGATATTATGATTCATAGGAAAATAAATATTCTATGCATTCAGGAAACTAAATGGGCTGGAGAGAATGCTAAAAAGATTGATGGTTTATGATTTAAATTATGATATTATGGTAGGAGGCGTACTATAAATATTGTAGGTGTGATATAAATAAGAGTGAAAGATACTATTGTAAAAATTAATAGAATTGGAGATTAAATTATATCTTTAAAGATTGTTGTTGATGTTAAAATTATTAATATTATAAGCGCTTATGCTCCTCAGTTAGGTTTGGATATATGTTTAAATTAAAATTTTGGAATGATCTAGAAGAATCAATATAAAAGATACCTCATGAAGAAAGAGTTTTCATTGGAGGAGATTTAAATGAACATGTTGGTAGAGAGGTAGATGATTTTAAAAGCATTTATGGTGGCTATGACTTTGGAGCAATTAATGAAGGAAGTAAGATCATATTAGATTTTTATTTAGCTTATGATTTTGTAATTGCTAATACCTTATTTAAGAAAAGAGATGAGCATCTCATTACTTATAAGACGAATAGATCGTTTAGATTGCAAAGATTGTAAAGTTATTTCAAGTGAAAGTTTATGTACCTAATATCGCTTATTAGTTTTGAACTTTAGGATGAAAGGAAGAAAAAAAAAATTAAATCGTTGTTCTAGGATTAGATGGTGTCATTTAAAGAATATTAATGAAAATATTTTTGTGAGTAAGATTCTATATCTTAAGATTTTGTTGTGCATGAGAAAGCTAATGTTATGTGAGAAAAAGTAGCTTTTGATATTTAGAATGTTGCAAAAGATGTACTTGGAGTATCGAAGGGAAAAGCTACCAATATTAAAAATAGTTGGAGGTGGAATAAAAATGTGCGTGAAAAGATAAAAAATAAAAAGATTTGTTATAAAATTTGGTTTAGCTGTAAAAATTTTAATAATTAGGAAATAGATAAAGAGGCCTGTAAGGAGTCTGAGAAAATAATAAAGTAAAAAAGGCATTGAATGAATTAAAGTAATAGCCAAGGTTTTGATTTAGAAGGTTCATCAAGTTAATGGTCAAGATGGGATGTTTACCAAGTCTGGGGAATCATATGTTGTTTGTAAAATACATTGCTTTAGCGGGTCTTAGCACTAGTTTTATGTCGACAACATCATTATGATAGGTTTTGATGTGAAAAGAATCAAGAACTTCAATGGAAGATTGCTCAAAGAATTTAAAGTTTAAGAATTAGACGAGCCAATGTCTTTAATTGGCATTTAGGTTGCATGTTGCATACTGTAGATATGTAATATGTATATTATAATAAAAATACATTGTAGGTGTTTTGAAAGATACATGTAAGTTGGGATGCGAGCCTGTCAACAACCTTATGGAATTCAATCAGAAAGTTAGAGTTGCTCCAAAATACACAATAATGAAAAAAAATCCTCATATTAAATATTTAAGGGAAGACTTACATATTTATCACATACTAGAATTGACGTTGCTTATGATGTCAATGTGGTGAATCAATCTTATGCACAATCCTAAAGAATCACATATTAGGGCTTCATATAGAATTCCACCATACTTGAAGGGAATCTATTAAAAAAAGAGGAGAAAAGATTGATTCTGAAAGCATGCATAAATACAGCTTATGTAGATTTTATGTTAGGCAAGCGATCAGTTTCAAGATATTTGCACATTTTAGGAGGTAATCTATTGACTTAGAAAAGTAAATGATGAAATGTTATTACAAGATATAGGACATAAGCTGAATTTAGATCTATGAAACTCGGAATATGCGAATTGCTATAGTTAAAAATTATACTGGAAGATTTAAAGCATGAATGTTACCTCCCTTAAGTTTTATTATAATAAGTCTTCCATTAATATTGCAAATTATCTTGTGTAATATGATATTATAAAGTATATTGAAATTGATAGACATTTTATAATAGAAAAAAGTTTGATAGTGGTTTAATGTGTGCTATGCTTGCGACCACAAATGAACACCTTGCGGATATACTCACCAAATTAAACAAAATTTGAGCAAGCTTGAAATGAGTGTCATCATTCATTAACTTGTGGAATTGCCCTTAAGAAACTGTCCCTGCTTAGGCTTTACAACTTCCCCCCTCCATTGCAACCTCATAGATCTGTGAGTTCTCTGTTGCTATCACCAATTTGTCGGAACTACCCGACTGTACAAAGAAATATAATGTGCTATTCACCTATTGTAATTTTTTTGTAGTTAATTTTATTTCCATCTTTTTGTCGGTGATTTTTTATATATCAAAATAGAACCTTCCTAGAATTGTATAAATTCTATACACATTGGAATAAAACTCACTCAAAAGTTAATTCTTGTCACCAGTTTAATAAATTCAAAACAAATGATATTTATAGACAACATTTGACCTTGAATTATAAATATTAAGGATAATCATAAAAATAATTAAAATATTTTTATGCGTTCTCTTTGAAGGTAACTATACTTTAGGTTTGGGATCACATGCCTCCACTGAAAAACTTAAAATTTTATTTGGCGCTGGGTGAAATGAAGATTGTTTTTTTTCTTAAATTAAATGAATATGATTAATAATAAACATCATGCCTCATAATAACTGGGTTTTTTTGGTGTGGAATTCACATGATATCAAGTAAATGAAATAGAATAAACAATATTGTAGGCACATAAATGCAAGACTTTCCCAAATGTAATTATCCTTAAGTGTAACCATCTATTTTCCCCTAAAGATGTTGCTCCCTGCAATACAAAACTTTTCAAATATCTATATCATTCAAAATACGAACTAGGAAGATCATTCGTCTCCATGAATCTATAAGATCTGTGTTGCAGACAATAAATCTGACTTACATGTTTCTTTGTCAATTTTCAGCGGAAGCACGTTTTCTAGAACCCTAAAGAGAAACAATTCCGCTTCCTCTAAACATGGAATGAGGGGAAAAAAACATGGAATCAGGGAAAGGGAAGGGTAAAATTGCATAAAATCTGCTGAAATATGGATTTTGACAACAAAATTTGAAAAAAATCTCTTCTTTAAAAGAGAAAAAGTAGCATCAACTAAAGATACCAACCGAATTTTCTATGATGCCAAACATAGAAACAACCTTATTCGATTCATAGGTGAATGCACAGTTGAAAGGAAAAAAAAAAAAAGGTTGAATAGCATGCATGACCATCATACCACTGTGATGAGGAACTCCTTTCACTATGCTGGCAAGAAGTACAGTACAAGCCACCTATGTTCCACTGTTGCTATGCTGTGATCCATCTGTCCATACCCTAGATCTTAAAGTCTGCATCCGCTTACTGATTTACGTACCTTACAAAGGTGGTGGGGTTATGCCTAATATAAGAATACATGCATCTTTATAAATTATTGAACTGTGAATTTGTTAAAAACAAAAGAGGACTTCTTCCAAGGAGTGCTAGTTAAATTCAGATACAGGCATCATTCCAAACTTGGAATTTAGTTATTTCTAAACTCTAAATTTGTTACTAAAAAAATAAAAAATATCTTGGATAATGTCAATTAAATGCTGATACAATTACTTTAGGTCTTGAATTTGGATGTATAATTTGCATAAGTTTCTTTGTTTATGCGAAATGTGCAAGCTGGGTTCCACCTCACTTGTATTTGTTTTGTTATGATGTTGATTTTTTTTTTATTTGCTTTGTTTTTATAGTTGAGTGAAACTTATTTTGCTTTGAGAATTGTAATCTGAACTTACACGCATGGCATTGTATGGTTGTCTTTGCAGGTTATGGATAGATACGTTGATCCACTAGTAACTAATTTGAAAAATGTGCTTAGTTACCGAAAATTCCGACGGGGAACAAAATTGGAAGTTGATGATCAGTTGAGGAAAGAAAAGGCAGAAAATCCAATGAGAATAGTTTATAGTTTTGGCATATCCCATGACCATCCAGGAACTTTTGTTTTGTCCTATATTAGAAGCTCAAATCCACATCATGAGTACGTTGGGTTGTATCCCAAGTGTTTCAGGTTTAGGAAGAAGGATTTTGAGGATCTTGATAGGTTAGTGGCATATTTTCAGAAGAATATTGACAAGCCACCGCTGGAATCTGGACCGTCAATACAGACTGTTGCTGCCAAGGTTCCAATGAAAAGCCCAGCTTGGGGTTACTCTAGCGATGGTGTATTTGGTGGTTCCACAGGCAGCAATGATGGATGGAGTAGTCAAACTCCAGACCGGGAGAGGACATCTACGCCAGGTTCTAGAGGTAACTATATTATTAGGCTTTGGCTTATTTTGTGTTTTATGTGAACATTATCAGCCGAGGTCAATGTTAAGGATATGATTTTTTGCAATGATGGTTGCAGATTTTGTTGATTTATTTTATTTCAAGTCTATGTGCAGAAATTGAATCCTTACTATGAATTCGATTCTGCAATATGTTATAGTATGTGATTTTTTTTTTTGGTATCATCCATTTTTGCTAATCCGTGGAATTTTACTTAGTTGGGGTTTCTTACGTAGATTTTGCTTGGTTAGGTGAGTTAGAGTTTTGACGAGTGACGCGTGACTCATAGGGGTTGTTAGTCAGTTCAACCTTGGCTTAAAATATTCTATAACATCTCTTAACACAGTTGAATTGTTGACAACGAGTGTTTCATTCTGCTCGTGTGCTTTATTATCTTTGCACCTTTAAAGTTGTATGACTTAAAATGAGCATGCATGAATGTTCTTTGTTTTGTTATTCTATTTGCTTGTTCTGACGTTCAGATTGAGACTAATCGAAGTTCTGACATTGAAAACCTCATTTGCCTTATGGGTTAAAGCATAGCAAGCAAAACAAATTGTCACTGTTATAGTGAAGCAGTACTTTTTAAAATTATGTGTAGGTTTTTATTTGCTTAACTTAGGCTTAATATTTTCATTATTTGGAAGCTTTCATATATGACAGTTAAGTGAGTACTCTGGTAACGTAGAATAATTAGATATGCTTGCCAACGAATGAACATAATTGTGAGAGCATTTTCTTGAAGGACATAGCACAGTTATAGGGTTCTTTTCAGGAATAGGGTATGAATTAAGTTGCATGCAGACATAAGAGGTGTGGGACAGGATGGCTATAAAATGTTATCCCTGAATGTGTTAGAGCTCTATGAATGGTAGGATTGTAATACAATTTCTATTGTATCATTGATGGAACTGAAATTAACAAATTGACAAACAATAGTAAATTGAACATATCACTGGAATTTGAATTTGTACCCAAACTAGTTCTAACGTTTCCTCGGAGCAATTTCTGAGGGATCAACATGTGGAAGATGAACTCTCTTATCTCTAATACCTGACTGTACTGTTCGCTTGATAAAAAAGGCTATAAACTTTAACTAATGGTAATGTTGAAGTTCAGAACTGTTTTTTTTTTACCTTGCAAAATATGTACTTGTTTTATAATTGATTTTGTTTCCCTTGTGTTGACAAATGTCTGTGGCGTTATGCTATATATATATATATATATATATATTTTGATCAGTATTGTACTTCACCAGAATATGGATTGTAGTGCATATTATTGAAATATGCAGATTTTGATTCAAGTTTTGTTAGCTTTTGCATATATTATATAGTATATTATACATGCATGTTTGTTTTTATTTATTTTCTGGGACTAAATTTTTTTTTGTGCCTGATAAGGACAAAAACACACTTCTGTCCCCTCATGCGTGAATGCTATCGGTCATATTTTGTTTTGCTCAAGTAATTGATAGTTTATTTAATCAGATTTTCCTTGATGATGGGACAAAAGGTTATTTAGATCTAGGGTTCAAGACTTCTTATGGACATGAACCCGTATGGTTAATCTTGGAGAGCATCTTTTGTTAAGGAGGTTGCTTAGCTCAAGTGGAAGACTTACTGGGTCTGTTAGTCTTGGGGAACTAGCGTGAGGAAGGAGTGGTTAATCCTATCAAGATTCATGATTTACAAGTTTGTCAACCTCTTGTTTTAAGGGAAACCTTGATTAGGCACTATGAGTTAATTCATTCAATGTGCTTCATAACAACAGAAGGCTCAAGCGTGTTTATCGTTGAGTGATTCTTAAATAAATTGGAAAATTTTGATGGCATGGAGGTTTAGTTCTAAATTGACAATGATGTCCTTCTCTTGTTACTTTCTGTGTTTGAGGCCTTAGCTAGATTGGGATGAGGTTTAGGTCCTTGGCTATTAGAAGGTTTTTATTCCTAATTAGAATTTTTAGTGCAATTCTTGATTAACTTTAGGATTCCATGGTTTGAGGTCTTAAGCTTGGATCGGTCTGGACAACTCTTACTGTGACAAAGTTGTATTAGGGCAAAAGCCTAGACCTATTCTGAGAACTCCAGTAGCTAGAACATTGGATCTTGGTTAGTCAAACAAAATTAAGGCTTTAAGATGAAGACAATAAAACTTATATTTTGTTGTTCATAGTAATTTAATTATATTATTTTTACATGAGCAAGTAACAAGCTGAACATGATTGAGAAAGTTTAATTTGTCAATTACTTTAAAAAATGAGCTCAAAATATTTGTTCAAGCTTGGCTCCCTTAACTAACAACCCAAACCCGAGCTTCTTAGCAAATCTAAACATGATTTGTTTGCAAACAGAGAATTTTTAATAGTCCTACTCTTTCTAGGCTGAGCTTGGTGCTGTAGGCATATTGCAACCTTTAGTATAATGAATCGGCAATGTGATTAGAGATGTTGAGTGGTAATGATGTCATTGAGGTCATTATAGACATCATCGAAAGTGATGATAATGTCTATTAGGCTGCATAAGGTACTCTAGAGAGAGAGAGCTTGTTCATCTTTTATTCAAAAATCCCCTTGTGAAGGCTGATCGACATGTCCTGCTGGCTCAAGAGTGGGATGCAGATGATGACAAAGGTTAATAGGACAAGGTGGGGTCCTTTCATTGGATTCCTCACTCAGAGTGATTACTAGTGGTGGCACGTTGTTGATACAATTTGTGAATTTTCAATGAGATGAATCGAGAAAGGGAGGAGAACGAGAGAGGGATGTGCGTTATCCTAATTGAGGGAGGGAGATGTGAGTGACAATCATAGAGGCAGTAAATATCTAGCAGTTGAGGGAACAATGTTTTCTGGCCTGAGAGTTCTAAGGGTTTTATGAAGGCATGGGATTGCTTTAGGTAGTGGCAATGGCGAATAAAGTTATAAGAGAGCCATTGGAAGCTAGCTATCGATTGAGGCAGCTTGGAATCCAGTAGGGGTTGCAACGGCTTTAAGGTATAGGGCTGTGGAGAGGAAGAAGGATCTGACCTTTCTGGCTCTTTTTTTTTTGTTTTTTTTTTAATTAAAATGATTTAAACCCCAAAATGAATGAAAAAAAAAAAGCATTCGATTAATTAGGGATTCATGTAGTTGACTTAGGACTAGTTTGCTAACTAATACAAGTAATCACCACAATTAAAAATTTTCTTTTTCCGTGCTAACATTGTGTAGTTCCCTAGGTTCTGTTTGTTACGTCTTTCATTGATTGGAAACTTTCAAGTTATAACATAAATTTTAATTTCTGATTACAATCTTCAATACCTTGAAGGATAGATTTCCATTCTTTCTGCAGTAGAACATTGAACCATGTTGATTTTTGGACGGGGAAAGAGTTTTGGAGGTTTGATCTAGATCTGCCAACTTTGGGAAAGCTAAGAACGTCATGTCCGCGAAGATAGTCTAAATGATCCCTGAAACAAACTTAAGATATAGTCAATTGCTTGTTATTAAGATTCCAGCATACTAAGCATATGCCTAACTGATCCAAAGTTGAATGAGAGGGAGTTCTTCATACTAATTCGATTCGAGTTACTTTGAGGAACATTATTAAGTTTTATATGCACTAGTGAAGGTGAATTTCTGGTTTTATGGAAGCTTCAGATCTTCTTTTAAGAGCTAATATAGATTTTAGTGCATAATGAGGATTTGGAAGCCTCGTTTTTGCTGTAGTTAGTATATTTGAAAACAAAGATTGATGCGGACATCAGTACGAAGATTTGGCGCATCTATCATAGGAAGCGTCGTAAATCGACGGCTATTATTTAAATCTTCATTTATGTGTTTTTTCTGAATTTTAGTTCTTATTTGATGTATTTCCTGTTTTACCCCTAGGTTAGTTTATGTGAGTGTTGTGACCGAAGGGGCAATTTTGTATTTTTACTTTTCTTATGTTGTGGCCTATATATAGGGCCTTACGCTATTGTAATAGGCATGGATTATTTGATATTAAAAATTTGTGTTCCACACTTGTGTTCTTTTGAGAGAACGTTAGTGAGATTCCTATGAGAAGGAATTGGAGTTTTCACCAGCCGCAGGATGGGTCCGGGCTCGTGACTTGAAGTCCCTTGGAGAAGGGCAAAGCATCACTCGTCAGTCTTCGGAAGAGTCCAAGGCTCGCGGTTCTTATCTTCTATTTTTTTGTTTTATCTTTTGTTTTGTTCATTCTTATTGCTCCCCTTAGTCATATTCATCTTCCTCCTCCCCATCTTCTTTTGGCCACCGGATTTACCTCCACCTGAAATCCCTCATCCTCTCTCCACCTCACAGCTAATCCCCCATACCCGAACCCATGCCGCCGGCTTCACCTCATTAGCCGCCGGCCGAACTCCTTCTCCCACCCTCTTTGGGATTTCTTAATTTGGTTGGGTTAATTTAGGGCATGATTTGAATTTGAAATTATTCAAATTCAAATTTCAAACTCTTTCCTAAATTAGTGATTCTATTTTAGGAAAGTTCTTAATTTACATATATTTGAATATGAAATTTAAATTGGAGTGAATTATTTTCTTTCCTAATCTTTAAAACCAAATTAAGAAGTTTTAATCAAAATCCCTCCAATCATTCATAACCGAAATTTCCCTTGCCTTGCTCTACTAATTAATTCCCTAATCTAAGGAGATTAATTTCATGAGTTAAAATCCATTAAATTCCCTGTGGTCCTGCCGCCCCTCCTCTCTCCTAATTACACTAGAAAAGCTCTCTAGTCCATAATGTTTAATATTTGTTTGGAAACAATTTCAATCAAGGCCCAAGCTCTAATTTATTTCCTAAAACCTGAAATTAGATTTTGGAAATAAATTCTCCCCCATATTCCCATCACCCTCACATTCCAAAACCTGTAGAGGGAAATTGGAATTTAATTCCCTAATTTCTTCTCCTTACACCTTTGGAAATTTTTCTTCAAAAATCTGACTCCACAGCCCCTAGCCGAACTCTCCCTGGACTATTTCCTATTCTATTTTCCCTAATTCATTTCACGGATTCAAGGAATTGAATTTCCCTCAGCCTCCCTTGGATCCTTCCATGCATATATAAATGTTATCCTAAGCCAAGTTTTTTGCGGGTCAAACTCTTGAACAAGCCGTGTTGATGATTAATTGATGTGAACACCTGCATTTGGCGTTGGGCTTTGGAGGGAGCTTTTATGTGAGTCATGAAATGGTAATGATGAAAGCTTAAGTGTTAGTTACCTTATAAATAAAAAGCTCAATAGTAATTGGTAAGTTTTATTCTTTCTGCAATTTGGCATGTTGATATGAAGTATGTTTAAACCATTTCAGTAATGCATTGAGAAATTACAGTAAATATTAATTTTTATTAGTTTTTGCAGTTTCAAGGACTACTATCTTGCTTGCATGTGCATATGCAGTATTTGAAAACACAATTTATTGAATGACTTCATCTTTGCAATGAGAATATGCTAACGTAATGGCTATTATAGGAAATTACTTTTAAATCCTAAATATTTACAGCTAGTAGAGTTGGGAAAATTCATTGTTGAGATTCCGGCCTACTCAGGGTCTTACCATTGGCAAAATCTAAACCCTAAGTATTTGATGAAAATTCTTGTTTTCTTCATTATTCTCATAACTTGCACCTAAATTCATTGTTGAGAACCCGCGTAAATGAATGGCGGAGAATAAATTCGTTCACAGCAGAATTTGTGTGACCGTCAATGGTTTCCTCAAAGAGGATGGTGATGTGTTGGACCGGAAAGGTGGAGGGACGAGGGAGAGGTAGGAGGCTAGGACAGGAATCATGCGAGCGAATGAAATATTTATTGAAGAAAAACAGTTGACTTTGGCAGGTTTATTTTGGATAGGTTTGCTGTAATTACTAAGTTTTTGACATGTGATTCAGTGTTTTCAATGTTGAACTGAGTTCAATAAATGAACTATATCCTCAAATGCTTGGAGTAAATGGATGGATGAAAACTAACATTTGTGTTCAAAACTGGTAGGCCTTCAGATTTTGTCATGAAATGGTATCAAATTCATTAATCAAACATCTGGAAAAGTAGAGGACTTCTTATTAGATAACATTCTGTTGTTTTTGCACAGAATCAGAGTTTTTTTCTTTCCATGTAAACCACTTAATTGTAGCTGATTGGTTGAGTTAATTGGTTAGAAAATGAAAAAAACTCTTTAGTGTTCCCCTATGAATTTTGTTTATTAGATTTAAATGCAATGGAGAAAAAAAATTCATGCAGCCGACCTATGAATTCTTCTACAACTAACTTATATATCATTTTGATTTGGAACTTAAAAGTGATTCTTATATTTATGTTTCCACTCCTTTTTGAAAAGGAGGAAGATCTGACTATAGGGGCCGTGGTGGCCGAGATGGCCATCCTAGTGGACTGCCAAGGCCAGGCCGAGGTCGAGGTCGAAGCTATGGAAGAGGAAACAATTTTGAGAGTGGAGGCCGAGGTTCAGATTATGGTAATTCCAAGTGGGGTTCGAATTCTGATCATGGCAATTCCAAATGGGGTTCGAATTCCGATCATGGCAATTCCAAATGGGGCTCAAATTCAAATGATGATCATGGCAATTCCAAATGGGGCTCAAATTCTAATGATGATCATGACAATTCCAAGTGGGGCTCAAATTCTAATGATGATGATGGCTTAAGCAGCTTCCCTGGAGCTAAGGTCCAAGACTCACCTGGCAAGGAAAGATTCCCCGGTGGTTGGGACGCCACTGGTAGAGGTGGTGGAGGTTGGGGGGGCAGCAACAATGCTGCGGAAGACAGAGAGGATGGTGGCTTTGGCGGTCGAGGTTGGGGCAATTCTCGTGGTGACTCAGCTGGTGGTGGTTGGGGAGGAGGAGATGCTGGTTTTGGCAGCAATACGGGTGGTGGCTGGGGTGGGAACTCTACCGGCGGTGGTGGCGGTGGTCGGGGTGGGAATTCTGCAGGCGATGGTGGTGACGGTCGGGGTGCAGATAGCTCAGGTTGGGGAAGTTCGAAGAAACTGGTTCCTCAAGGTGGTGGTGGTGGTGGGTGGTCTGGAGGCGGAGGTGGAAGTAGATCAGGTGGTGGTTGGGACTAAGGAATGCATTCCGGCGAACATTCAAAAAACCTCAGGTGCTTGTTTGGCTGCAGTTCTCGTCTTCTTCAGGTGATTGGCACTAAAACAGATCAAATATTTATTTTGCTGCAGTTGAGGTAAGCGTTGCAAGAAAACATTCATCAGTAGTTCTCTATTGTTAAGCGCATTGCCTTCTTTATTTAAGTTGGCAGCTTCAATTTGCTAACCAACTTATATATTTTGTCTAAGCTGTATTTTCTGATCGGAGTGCCTCTTTCTGTAGTGTTGTTTTTGATCTATTTGAATTAGATTTGGTTTGAAGCCAAGTGATGGATCTGCAGGTCAGGCATCTGTATAAAACTGAAGTGATATAATGGCTGCAATTTTTTTTATTTTTTTTATGGGGATAGTTTTAGGGCATTTGGAAATTTGTTAATCATGAAGCTTTTTTATAATTATTTAATAGTTACTTTTATAAAAAGTTATGGCCGTCTTAAAGAGATTATAAATCTTGTTATTTTTCATGATGAAATAAAAACATTTTATTTGTGAAGTTGTGGGAAAAGCGATTAAGGTTTCGTTTGGGATGACTTCTCATTGTTTTTATAAGTCATCTTTTAGTAAAAATTTTGAGTTTTTATATTAAAAAGTTGCTTTAAGATTCAATAAAAAAGTTGTTTGAAATGAAGTTTTAGGTTTCATTTGGGACAATTTTTTCATTGTTTTATAAAACAGTTTTTTAATTCAAGAACTTTAATTTTTAAATTAGAAAGTTGTTTCAAGCAGGAAGAAAGCTGTCCCAAAGGAAGTCTTAGGCTTCGTTTGGGACGATTTTTTTACTGCTTCTTGAAACAGCTTTCTAGTACAAAAGTTAAAATTTTTGTACTTTAAGAAGCAGCAGAAAAGTCGTCCCAAACGAAGCCTTAGTAACTCTTAAGTAGTTTTTGAAAAGTACTTGGAAAGTAGTATTTAATCAAAATTACGATTGGTGTCTAAAAGTAAAACCGCTGGAAAAATGTCTCAAGAAAGACAACAAGAATTAATTTATAATCATTTTAATATTTAATATAACTTAAAAAGAATGCAAGAATGCTCTGTTTTCTTACTCCTTTTTAGTTATTTGAACTAAATTATTTGAAAAATAAAATTAGGGTTTAAGTTAAATTATAAATAATTAGGTATAAGGCTAGAAATTTAACCAATTGTTAAAGATAATATATATATGTATTTATTTATATTTCAGTTGATAAAATATTATTTATGATATGTTAATAATATATAGCTTTCCCATCAAGGGCATCTTATAATATTTGGTGTATAAAAGCTAATACTGGATTTTTTTTTTAAACTATTCCATACCAAATTTAATTAATATATTTTATTTATTTTAAATATAAAATTAATCAATATAAAATTTAATCCGGCTAAATTCAAAATATTTTAATCCGAAGTTTCTCCCAACTTTAACATCATAAAAGAAAAGAAGTCCAAATAAGCTATAATTTAACCTACTCATATATGCTTGCTAAAATAATAATTTTCATAATAATGTTTTAGAATGTTTAAAATGAGATGCATAAGAATAATTTTCACAAATATGAAACAAATATGCATATAAACTAACTCGCTTCCAACTACTCCAATCCGAACATGACTCAGCCCGATTACACAAACGGGTTCAAATTTTCAAACTTGAACCCGACCCACAAACCCCCAACCGTAGAAGGCTACGAGTGAGAGTTTGAGCGAGCAGGGGACAAGGGGGCGAACATGAGGCGAGGTCGCAGTGCAAGCACGAGGCGGGTCGCAGGGCTAGTTCTTGGTGCAACGCGAAGCGAGGTCGCGGCACTGATGCAAGGCTGCTAGCATGGGGCAAGGTCGCGCTGTTGCGCGGGAGATGACCGGGTCGAGTTTTAGTTTTCGGGTTGACCCAAACCCAACTAAAGCATCCTTTTAGTAAAAAAATTACTTGAATTAGAAATTTTTGTATTGAGCAGAAAAAAAAAAAGATCCCAAATGAAACCTCAATTTCAAATAATAATCAAATCAATAGTAAGGCAAAGTCTTTCCATAGAATTCAAATTAGGTAAAAATCTCACAACTACCAAGTGATATGATTTGCAATAAATAAATCTAATATAAAACAATTTCTTGACAAATCTTGTCTTAAGAAGCACTGCATCAAATATGCACAACCCCACTATAAAACATTTACAGAAAACATACAAAAATCCCAAATTAGAACATGAATTATATGATACAATGATAAAATTCAGGATACAACATCAAAGAACTCACTTAAAGATTGGAAAAACCTGAAATAAGTTGAAGGAACAAAAGCAACTGTGTTTCTGTATCAGGCAATGAGGAATGGAAGCACAGTAAGCATAAAGGATTCATAGCTGAAAGTAGCAGAGCCAGTGTACATTGGGTCCTTTTCCTTAAATTTCTCTGTCAAACCCTGAAAACAATCAATCCATCACAACAATTGAAATAATACCTTAACAAATAAAGGAGCAGAAAAAATTTGCATTACCTCGACTGTGAGGCAGCATCTGCAATGTAATCAGAACACAAAATGGATTAGACAACTTATTCATATAGATAATAGATGAATGATACTGAACAAAAGCTGTAAGAAAGAGGAAAAGGATCATACTCGATGAAGTTGTCGTATTCAATGCCATTGCTTTTGCCACCACTCTTGTCAAACTTACACAGAAGCAGGTCCAGCACAGAAGGGGAAACCACATAGCCCAAGCTCCGAAGGGCTTCGCGAAGCTCCGATTCATCGATCTTGCCGCTCCGATCACGATCAAACCTCTCAAAGATGACCTGCAAGTATAACGGTCGCAATAACTAAGCACAATGAATCCAGTATAAGAACTTGTATGGCGGATTATATATGATTACCCTCCAGCTCTGAAGACTGTAAAACAATGAGATGAACTCCCTTGGTCCTGAAAAACAAACAAAACATAACGTTGCATGAGGGATTCAAGAAAATGAATTTTTAGAATCAACAAGTGATTAAAGCAACTGTAGTATAGCATATATGTATATGCTTATATTGTATATGATTAAAGCCTTTTTATGTAATGCTCTTGCAATCTTTGTTCTTGGGTTAGTATCTTATGCGCAACTATTATATAATATATAGAATATAGGATTTTTAAGATATTTCTATCTTTTGAAGATAGGATCATTTACAATTATTTTGTTGAGATATTTAGGAGATATGTTAACCGTCCTTTGTCTATCATTTATTCATAAAATCCAAAGAAGAATTCAGCCTCTAAGCTTGGGCAAAAAGAACTAGTTTGAGCTTACCTAATTTCTAACACCTAGCGAATAGCTCCCAACTCTTGCTTCCTGCTATAATGGGGGTGCTCTACCAATCCCAATAAAGCTATCAAGCACTTCCGTTGAAACTCCGGTATCAATACAACAAACAAAAAAAGATTACGGGTAAAGGAGTCGCAAAAATTTTTAGTTGTGTGATTCTGTGATTGAACTTTGATTATTTTCTTATAAGAAAAATAGATGAATTAAATGGCAAAAATTATAAAATTAATCCTATTGAAAATTTATATATCCAGTATCGTTTATTAGTTTTGAACTTTAAGATGGACATATTACAAAAAATAATAAAAAATATTATCCTAAAATTAGATGGGATTCTAAAGAATGATAACAAAATTATTTTTTTTAGTAAAATTCAAGATCTTATGATTTTGATTGTGCAAAGCTAATGTTATGTGAAAAAAAGTAATCAATGATAGTAAGAATATTACAAAGGATGTGTTTAGAGTATCAAAAGAAAAAACTTCTAAAAATAAAAATAGTTTGTGATGGAATTAAGATGTGCAAGAAAAGATCAACAACAAGAACAATGAAAACAACAACAAGCCTTTACCCCACTGTGGGGTCGTCTACATGAATCCTTTTTCTCCATTGTGTCATGTTAAGGGTCAAATTCTCATCTAAATCTAATAAAGAAAAGTCATTTCTAATATTTTCTAACAAAGTCTTTTTAAGTCTACCTCTACATTTCTTAATATAAGTCAAATCTAATACTTTGCACTGGCTTTAAATTATATACATTATGTTAGAAAAATTATTTTCGTGAAGGTGTTAATAACGCAATGCCCCTAAAGACATTGAAAGATATTTGGCACAATATTATGCCAAGCTTAAATAAATTGTAAATGATCAAATAAAATATGCATGTGCAACATGCTGTCCCTTTATACTTTTACTTACATATATGTATTTTTAGCTAGAAAGCTGTTCAAATAAACTAAGGTACAAGCATGGATTTTAGTACTCTTTCAAATTTAAAATAATTTTAAAACCCAGATAAATCAATGAGGCAAGGACTGGAAGCAGAACTTATGCTTATGTACTTATTTTTTGGTACTTCTACATTTATGCATAGACACAAAAACTGGTTGTATTTTATGCAGCATCCAACTAACAAAAACTTATATTTTCTCTTTCATTGGTGTATTTGCATAACCTAGTTACAACTGGCCTTTCTCTCTCTTGCAACTTGCATAATATTTATCTAAACATTTATTTGTAGTTGTGCATTTTTTTTTATTCTTATTAGTAATATGTGATTGTTTGGAATCATGAAATCATTAGACTCTTAGGAAAATTCTGTTTCTATAATTTCTATAAATTTAATCAAAATGATAAAACATTAAAATCAACTTTAGGGCAACTTTTCTTAAAAAATTAACGTGTGGTCTCTCTCAACACCATTTTTTTTCTAAATTAAACTAAATCCACTCACTTTATGTTTATGTGAACATATAGTCACCATATCAAGCTATCTATATCTTTTCTAAGAGGAGAGTCATAAATTCAACAAGTGCCTACTAGATGCACTAATCATAACATGGCCAAACTCTCGTCCATATTAGAAAAGTCCTAACATTAAGGACATATAATTTTGCATTCTACATGTCCCATGGGATATACTTGTTCCATCAATATTTTGTCGATGTCATAATTTTCTAGATTCACTTAAGTGGCAATTTAGCAAGCTTAGACGGTTAAGTACCAGTCCTAATTCAAATAGGATTATAAGACCAATTGGGCAGTTTGACTCTGTTATAGTTAAATCATACTTGCCTCTATTCCTATAAGCTTTAAATTATATTTTCAGAAGAATCAGCCCTATATTCCTTCTTAATCTACCAGATAAAGTGTAGGAAATTTATGTCGCTTCTTTAGCTTCAAATCTATGAGGTTTCTTTAGAATATCCATTTCACAATTATCTAAATAGAATCTCAAACCATATTAGTTCAACTATGCTACTGGCTAAGCAGATCTAGAGTGATAACTCGAGATCACAAATCTATGAAATCCTGATAAAATTACGCCTACATTTTCCATAATGTCTTCACATGAAATTCTTTTAATATTTAAAATAAAAATAAAAAGAAAAGGAAAACACATATCAAAACAAGGTCAATGACCCATGCTTAGAGGTGAAGAGGGGTCAAATCTCTCGACTTTTTAATAAGATGAAACTGGTAAGAAGGATAGGTAGAGTTGAGCTTGGTGTAGATAAAGCGGGAAGTTGGCTCCAATAATATCCGCGTTTGAATATTGAACTCCTCATCTCCGGAGTTCGCAAGGAATCAGGGGTTGTTATTGAATTCGAATAAGGAAAGATAACGGAGAGGCAGCTTTGTGGAATTGATGTGACAATTTTAATAAAGGTTGGGAAGACGATGAACACCAGATCATGATTAAAAAGATCAAACAAATCCACCTCCAACACCATCATAGAAAGAGAGAAAATTGGAGAGAATTTGATCTCTATCAAATTCTATAATGTACAACATTTTATGAAGCAAACAAGTACATAAGAAAGTGTGAATCTAAAGCTATAACTAAATGAAAGAGTGTTGGAAATAGGCGGCGACCTAATTCAAATCATCAGAGTGCAGGTAGAAGTAAGAAAATAAAATGCAAAAAAACATCCGAAATTTTTAAAGAGATTCACCTCATTGATGAATAATTCATGTTTCTATCGTTGCAACTTCCATTATGATGATGATCCTAAAGTTTTACATGAAAATTTCACGACCTCACACTTTATCTAGCTTTTAACCTGTCTAGTGTTTTGAAACAAATCATGATGCCCATATAATAATGAAACCTAGGGTAACTGAACTTGCATCTGAAATTCTCATAATATATTTGAATGAGAACTTGCCAGCCTCATATATTCTCTTCTTAAGATATTTCTTTATACGGCATTTAATCAAGCTCTATAACTTAACATAGAACGCACTACAGCTCCTTTTCATAATAGATTAAACATGCCAAGTAGTCAAAACAAAACTTATCAGCATAATAGCGACATACACTGCGCCAAAACCCTAATAATCGAGTGCTATTTCAATCACTCCCCACAAAAAATTTGAAAAAAAAGGTAACAAATTCAAACAATTAGTCTTCAAATACATAAAAAAAAAGCTACCGAATCTCACCAATCCTCCGAGCATTCGATGAAGTGAACAGATACATAAGTAATTGAACTGTCCGAATGCTAAAGCTCTGGTTATATGAAGATAGAGCACGCTGCAGCTCCTTATCGTCTATGAGTCCACTCCCGTCCTGATCGGCCATCTGGAAGCACGCCACCACGTTCGGATCTGTCCCAGGCGGGAACACAGACGGCAGAAGCGCCGCGAAAGGGCTCGCCACACCGTAAGCCGGTGGTTTCTCGTACCCTCCCCCACCTCCGCCATGCGCTTTCTCCGGCTTCTCGGGTTTACCGTACGGTGCCGACGGCGCGGGACCGCCGTAGCTGTAGGTTTGAGATGGTGCGGCTTCGTAAGATTGAGGCGGTGCCCCGCCGTAGGGTTGCGGTGGTGCGCCGCCGACATGCGCTTTCCCTGGCTTCTCCGGCTTAGCATACGGTGCCGATGGCGCTGGACCGCCCAAGCCGTAAGTTTGATACGGTGCGGTTCCGTAAGGTTGCTGAGGTGTGCCGCCGTAAGATTGCTGCTGTACGGCACCGTAGGGTTGCGAAGGTTCATTGCCGTAGTTTTGCGGTGCGGCAGTGTATGGAGGAGCCGACGGCGCCCCGTAGGAGTAGCCAGGACCCGGAGGATACCCTGCCATTGGAGATAGGTAGAGAGAAAGAGAGAGAGAGAGAGAGGTTTGCCTTCTGGGTGAAGAAATTATGATTTTTAATAGATCGGCAAATTTTAAAGTCCTTTGTTCGATTAATAGTGATCCATTTTTCGTTAGGGTTAAAAAATTTTAGACAAAGAAGAAAAGTTTGACTTTGTCTAAATTCTATCAGAATATATACCAATATATCATCTCTTTATTTTTTTAACTTAAAAATTATTTCAAATGAATTATTTTTTTTATTTTTAGACTATTTATTAAATTTCCATCATAAGAAAAATATTTTGAATTAGTTCAAATTTAAACTGGGTTTCTAACCATTGTTTGAACCTGGTTGGCTCCAATATATACCAATATATTTTTATATAATGTAATGTTAAGTAAATATTGTTTGATTGTAATCAAATTATTGATATTTTTGGAGTAAAATCCTACACTCATTAAATCATTCACCAAAATATAAATAAAAGTAAACTACATAATTGAAACAATTAAATAATTCAAACCTTAATTATCTTCAATGATATATATATAAATTCATAATTATAGTTAATTGTTTTTTCTCCTCCCTGATGCTAACAATAAGTAAATGTGTTTCCAACAACAAGAGGAGATGCGTTGGAAGCACAAGAAGGTAGTGATTTAGCAGTGATGACAATGCAACATAAATTGGTTGTGAGTGTGAGAGTTTTGTGATTGCGAGTTTAAAGCCGTGTGGCTCTGCTCAAGTTAGATTTAGGCTTTGTTTGGGACGACTTTCTTGTTTCTTCTTAAAGCAACTTCTTAGTATAAAAATTAAAAACTTTCTACTAAAAAGCTGCTTTAAGAAGCAGAAAAAAAGCCATCCCAAACAAAGCCTTAGTCTAGGTATTGTTAATATATATAATTTTATACATAATGTATGTAGATTTTTTTGTTAGATTTCTAAGTGAAAATTTTCATATTAATAAAATTTTGTAGATGACTCAGTCGCTTAGACTACAAATTTGCTTAGATTGGAGATTGCATAGTCCTAGAATTATTTTTTTTAATATATGATTTTCATAATTTGTATGTTTTCAATTGAAAATTTATGTCAAATACTATCTTACAAATTTTTAGTAATTATATTTGATACTTTACTGAAAAATCATATTAATCTAGCACAAATTTTGAAGCATATCAAAGTTGGAAACTTACAAAATTAAATTTGGGATTATATGAATTCCAATTTTAGCAAACTTATAATCAAATTGAACGTCTTAGTGAGACGAACCCAACGACACCAAAATCGGCCATTTCCTAGTCCAGATGGACCTAAATCAAGAGACTGAAGCATGTTTGAAAGGTTCAAAACATTAATTGGACGACCAAATGATATCTAAATATGACATGCTTATAGTTGAATCAAGCGGCTCGACTAGACAAATCCAACGAGCCTAAGACTGCTTAATTTTGACATCATTAAGGCACTTACATACTTGACAAGCACTCCATGATCGAGAGAATCGATATGGGTCGACCGATAAAATATTCCAAATTTGCTCCAGATCTTCTCTATATTTATGAGTCATACCACTCTCAAAATCTATAAGTAGACTCCTCCACACATGAGGGGGGCTTGGACCTTTGGAAGCTTAGACACTGAGCTAGAGACTTAAGAGAATTATGATGCTTGAAGTATATCCTACAGCTCCACCCGGCACCACTGTTGGTGGACTCTCGCTGTCAGACCTCCATCCAATAGCCATCATTGGGCTTTTGTTCGACCTCCGTCGCCTATCGACTACATCCCTTTGACTTCCATCGCCCGTCGACTATGATTTATTTTGTTAAAATACATATCCTAGAGTATTTATTTTGTTAAAATTTTAGGTTATAATATTTATCAAACTTGATTTGAATAGATTTTATAATAATTTAATTTATTTTAAGATAAATATAATATAAAAATAATTAATTTGCTATGTATTGTAATCATCTAAAAAATAAATCTATAATTAAGAAAATCATGTTGTGTTCAAAATACTACAAATTATTATTTTTGTACTAATAACAAAAAATTAGGAATTAAAAATCATTAAATATATTTTAAGATTAGTATAATACATAAGATATTAATAACAATTTATATTACATACATCTCAAAATAAATTGATAACTTAGTGACTCATCCTAATTAATTTTGGGATCATTTTTTTTTGTTGAAAAAAAAAAGAATTTTGAGCTTTTTTTCTATTTTAATTAATTAATTTTTACTTATATTCTCAAATAATGAAAGATAATACTAATTGATATATTTTAATATTTATTGTGTATAATTAAATCAAAATTAATGATGAAATAAGAGATAGTACTTATAATATTTATAAGATAATTTCTAAACTCAAACTGACTCTATTATTTTAATTCATCGCTTAATTATAATTTATTTTATATTTGTCAAATTTATCTTATCTATGACTTTTTAATGCTTTATAGCACTTCCGATAGAATCACCGCAGGCTTGTCTAATAGCATGCGCCTTCTTCATCATTTCTACTGTTCTAGTATAGCGGTATGTTCACTGGTTACTTTATATATCTCCTTACAGTGCTGAGTGCGTGCGAAGAACGGAGGGGAGGCAAGGCAAGTCTCCTTGTTTTTTTCCTGTTTTATTTCATTTGATCCGCCATTTTTTACTTCCATGCTAAATTTCTACGATCATTCATACAGATGATTACTGTATATGCCTACTTCTGTTCTTATTGTGAGTGATTTTGTTCTGTATTTACAGCTTGTGGGAATCATAGGTTTTTGTTTAGGTTTGTTTTGTTGGGCCTTCGTTCATCGAATCAATGAGTGTCAATTGCGTATTTCTGTGATGAATATAGGAAACATTCACAAAAATTGTTGCTTAGATTTTGAAAGCTTGCGGAAATTATAGAATCTGTTTAATTTTCTGTTTTGGGCTTTTTATAAGAGAATCTCGAGAGGTTTTTCATTCTTCTGTGAGAAAGATATGGAATTATCCCCAAAAATGGTTGCATTATCTGCTGCTTCTCTGCTGGTTTTGAATGTTGCAGGTTAAGGAAAATCGTAACCTGTTGTTTGATTTCATTTATTGGGCTTTCTTTAATCTTAGGATTTGAGTTGCTGGCCGGGTTTTATAAAACGTCAATGCCATCGTACGCCTATTTTGGGGATAGATTAACATTGTTTTAGCTTAATTTAGGGCGATTTACTAACTAGGGTTCATCCATTGATAAAGGAGAAAGAAGGGGTAAAATTTTTAGCTTAGTCATAAAAAATTAATCTTGATAGGGTACGAATCTCGAGACAAATTTGAGTTTGAAACTTTCGAAATTAAATCCGGGCCATCCGAACTCCGATTTCAGCAACTTATAGTCGAACTAACATCTCGAAAGACAAATCCAATGACACCAAATTTGACCCAATCGAGCCCAAATGGGTCCAAATCAAAGACCCAAAGTGCATTTGAAAGGTTCAAATCATAAATTGGACGACCAAATGATTTTCAAACGTGACTTGCTTATAGTCGAATCGAGTGGCTCGACGAGACGAATCCAACGAGCCCAAGATCGTCAAATTCTGATATCATTAAGACACTCAAGTACTCTATAAAGAGTTCACGATCAAGAGAGTTGATATCGGCCGTTCATTCAAAACACTCCCAATATGCCATGGGGGGAGGGGACCAAGCAAGGAAGAGAGGAAAGGAAAAAAAAAAAAAAAACCAGAGTTCTCTTGCCACCAGACTGCTCAGCCATTATTTGGTAGCAGACCGTCGTCGGACTTTTGCCCAGCCACCAACTGTCGCTGGATTTTTGCCCGACCACCAACTGTCGTCGGACTTTTGCCCGACCACCAACTGTCGTCGGACTTTTGCCCGACCACCAACTGTCGTCGGACTTTTGCCCGACCACCAACTGTCGTCGGACTTTTGCCCGACCACCAACTGTCGTCGGACTTTTGCCCGACCACCAACTGTCGTCGGACTTTTGCCCGACCACCAACTGTCGTCGGACTTTTGCCCGACCACCAACTCTTTTGCCCAGCCACCAACTGTCGTTGGATTTTTGCCCGACCACCAACTGTCGCCGGACTTTTGCCCGACAACTAGCTGTTGCTGAACTTCCGTCTGACCGCCAACTGACGTCGGATTTACACACGACCATCGACCGTCATCGGACTTCCGTTCGATCCCTGTTCGTTGCTAGATTTCAAACCGACGGTTGACTATTGTAATCTGATCGTCCTCAACTTCAAGGAAGAATCAATCATTTGTAATCTATTCAAACACTAGTGGATTTATTTCAATTGGGCTTGGTCTCGTGGTTTTTCTCTTTACGGATTTCTACGTAAAAATTATGATGTTTCTATTCTCTTTGTTTGTGAGCTGGGTACTCGTGCAATGCTAAGATGAAAGATTTTCCTACTTTACCGCCGTGAATATTCTAGCCTGCAACGTTTAGGAATCCCTCGTTTGTTTGATTTTGGGGCTATTTGGCTACATGTAAGTTTTTTTTTTTTAAAAGTTGAGTACAACAACAACATCAAGCCTTTATCCCACTACGTGGGGTTGGCTACATGAATCCTTTTTCTCCATTGTGTCCTACTAAAAGTCAAATTCTCGTTTAAATCTAATAAAGAAAGGTCATTCCTAATATTTTCTAACCAAGTCTTTTTAGGTCTATATATATATATATATATATTATGTTTTTGCATGATGGGATCAATTTATTCATCAATTGCCTGCTATGGTTATGCTGGTAGATTTGCCAGTATTGCATAGACTAATTTGGGAAATCCTGGAGATGCCATAGACTCTTGATTCTAGAGTTCAATAGCCCGCTCTTGCTGCAACATCTCTAGCATAGATAAAAGCTTGGATTTTGTACATACTAGGATAAAACAGGAAGAGCAACAAGAACCTTCTAAAGATGTTGTTCAGGGAGCTGAATTTTATAAATTAACTTGAGTTCGGATAAACTGCCCTTCAATGTATCAACTGTAGGTCTTATTTAATTCTATAGGGACCACCTGGATGTAATTCATATTTTTAATTCTTCTAATCCTTCAAGTCTCAGAATGTAGTAAAATGCCTGGAACTTGTACCAAGTTTTGCATCGTAATAATCTCATGGCATGACTAAACTGTTGTGGGATAGTGAAGATAACCCAAAAGTGGTCTTCGCGTAGGCTTCGTTTGGGACGGCTTGCTTTCTGCTTCTTAAAGCTACTTTATAGTACAAAAATTAAAAATTTTATACTAGAAAGCTGCTTTAAGAAGCAGTAAGAAAGCCGTCTCAAACGAAATCTGAGGCAAAATCATATAAAGATAACTCAGTTTCCGAGTAACAAGCATCCATGTTGATAATTTGGAAGTCCTTCATGTCAATCTTATGTTATACACAGTAAAATAAATTTACATTAGACACATAACCAACATTTCTTTCATATTTGTAGCAGCTACTAAAATCAATCAGGTATCATGCAAAGAACTGGGCATACCAGTTTATTAAATTCATAAATTGGCATCAGTTTGCCACAAATTTGTTTTAACGTATAAATACAGGATAGCTGATTGTAGTGTTCTTACAGCAAAGGCCTTTTTCCTAGTTTGTGATAAACAATTCTGTAAGTTTACCTAACCATGGATTAGTGTTGATTTTCTCAGCTGTACTGAAAATTTATTTTAAAAAAATTCTATCAAGGCTTCATTTGGGACGGCTTTCTTACTGCTTCTTAAAGTAGCTTTCTTAAAATTTGAACTAGAAAGCTGCATTAAGAAACAGTAAGAAAGTCGTCCCAAACGAAACCTTAGACTTCGTTTGCAGCTTCTTAAAGCAGCTTTCTAGTGTAACAAATAAAAATTTTTATACTAAAAAACTGCTTTAAGAAGCAATGAAAAAGTCGTCCCAAACAAAACCTAAGTCTTCACCGAATGATGTTTGCAGTGACATGAGTTACTTGGATCACTGTGCTTTACTACCCCAGATTAAATACCTGAAGAGATCGAATTTCAGAAATAATGAACTGAAAATTTTCTTTATTTCAATATTCATTGTTATTCTTTCCATGCAGCATGTAGTGCGGTGTGTATTTATTTCCACACTTTCAGAAGGTGTAAATCATAAAATGCACTTACAAATACATCAACTGATTAGTAACCACCTGAAGTTGTTCCTATTTTATGCAACATAATCGTCAGTTCTGTAGATTTGGAACCTCCGTTTGAGTGCTGGTCGGGTTCTAAACCCATTCTTTATGGACAGCATCTATAGTTAATACCCATTTCCAAAGAAAAAGAAAATCAACGATTCATATTAGAAAACGTCTCAAGATTCCAATTCATATTTTAATTATTTCATTCATTCTCTTAAATGCTATAGGGTCTCTAAGGTTCATTTTGCATAGTATTTGAATCTTAATATATCCTTCATCAATTTACTATGTTGGAGATAGTTTTATTCAACAACAACAACAACATCAAGCCTTTGTCCCACTACGTGGGATTGGCTATATGAATCCTTTTTCTCCATTGTGTCCTGTTAGAAGTCAAATTCTCATTTAAATCTAATAAAAAAAATTATTTCTAATATTTTGTAACCAAGTCTTTTTAGGTCTACATCTACCTTTCTTAATATAAGTTAAATCTAATACCTCTATTTTCCTAACCGGGTCATCGGAAGGCCGCCGTTTTATGTGACCAAACCATTTAAGGCGGCTCTTTCTAATCTTATCTTCCACTGGAGCTACTTCAACCTTTTCACATATATGCTCCTTTCATATCCCGTCTCTAAACTCCTCCACTTGAGCATCCTCATCTCTGCAACACTTAACTTAGTATTATGCTTCTCTTTTAATGGCCAACATTCTACACCATAAAGCATTACAAGTCTCACTACCATCTTTAAGTCTGTCCTGCAATAAAATCATAACACTGTACCTAAAATAAATGAAAACTTTGAAAGCCAATATTCTCCTTTGTTTATCAACTCCAGTCACTATTTTTTGTTTCACTATTCAACTCGACGCCTTACCAGACTTCTGTTTATCTGAATTCTTAGTGACAGACTCAAAGAACTTCAATGACAGACATGAATGGAATGAGCACACCAAATAAGGAGCAGGAGAAGAAACAAAATGATGCAGAAAACCCCAAGCTTGATAACAATCCCAGAATCTATGATGAAGATAGTAACATAAATTCAGCTCCAACTGCGTATGTGAACATGGAAGCCATTATAACAGCTGATGATGTTGTTCGAGCCGGAGGATTCGGTGCTCGAGATGATATCGGCAGTTTTCTTCCAGTTGCAGCAGATTCTACTGACTTCGAAGCTTCACTTCTTGAAGCACAAGGCTTTGAAGAACCACAGGAGGAAAAGAAAAGGCCTGGTCTTGGTTGGACTGAAGCAATGGAGAAATAATTGCTACTTTTGTTCTTGTTAGTTAAATTCTCTCATATTTTGGTTTTTCCCAGTTATGTTTGTTTTTGAAATGAAAATTTTAATGGAGAAATAAACCTTTGATGTGATCAAATAGTTTTCTTTTTGCTATTTGGAATGAACTGATAAGATAACTTTCATCATAGCTGCAGGCTGGTCAGAAACTAGTAAGCATGTCTTTGCCAAACCCTAATGGAAAATCAACGGTCGAATTTCTATCTGACAATGAAATTTTTTTGGATCTGTATCTCAAAGTTCTGATACTTAGCCATCCACACAAATCCTGATTTTTTGAAATAGGGTGGTGGAGCTGTAGCTCAATTTTTTTTTTTTAAGGTGTAGAAATTGATCTCTCTTTTTTAACCAATGGAATTATAAATAAAAAGGTCGAAGCATAGTTGAAAATTTTAAAAATATTAACTAGAGAATCAAATGGTATAAAGTTTGACATGCTTATGATAAAATTGAGTGTCTTAACAAGGGAAATTCAATGAGCCCAATATCTTTTTGTTCTCACAACATTAAGATACTTAAATGATGAAGGAATGCTCTATGATTAAGGATATCAATACGGGTTGTTAGATAGTGTTCAAAATTCTCCTCATATATATGGGATATGACTCTTGGAATTTTATAAATAGGTCCCCATTTTATACATGAATGAAAACTTCCACTAGAGATTCAAAAAACCTCAAATACTTGAAGAGTTTCGGCGCTCCGCTTGATCAACACTATCGCTTTGTCATTATTGTCAGATTATTGTCTGACCGCCACTATTAGACAACAACTACCACCTCTATTGGAACATACGTTGACTGTCGCCATCAATCCTTTGCTGCTTGGCCGCCACCATATGTCCTTCACCGCTTGATTGTTGCCTTTGGGCATTCGTTGCCTAATCTTTACCACTGCCTGTCGCCATTGGACCGCCCCTACCGTCTCTGTTAGACCCATCGGGCCTTAATTATTGCTTCAGATAAGAAAGATCCTTGTTTTACTTTTTATTTAAAATAAATTTTTTTGTTAATATTCATGCGAGAAGAGTAAAACCAGCTTAAAAAAAAAAAAGACTCCAATTTGTTAAAAGTTTGCCTTCATATTTGTTGCGTGCTAGAATATACGCGGCGGTAGAGTTTGTAAATTTGCGTCCTAGCGTTGTATGAGTATTCAGAACACAAGCATAAAAGTCAAGTGAACACCAAGGTTTTTTCGTGGAAAACCCAAAAAAGGGAAAAAACCACGGGGCCTCGCCCAGTTGCAAAATTCCACTAGTATTTGTTTGAAGTACAAAGGTTGATCCGTCTTACAAATCAAGACGATCAATTTACAATCAACTTCACATAAAGTTACAAAGTTATGCAAATTCCCGGCGTTTCCCGAAAATCCGGCAGAGTTCCGGCGTCTTCAGGCGTGCTCGTCGCCATTGGACCACCCCTACGTCTCTGTTAGACCATTGCCTGACCACCATCGGGCCTTAATTATTGCTTCAAATAAGAAAGATCCTTGTTTTAGTTTTTATTTAAAATAATTTTTTTTGTTAATATTCATGCGAGAAGAGTAAAACCAGCTTAAAAAAAAGACTCCAATTTGTTAAAAGTTTGCCTTCATATTCTATTTATTCTTTTACGTAAATGATGGTAGTGATGACATAATTGATACAAGGGCTCAAGATCTCAACTTGAAGAAAGTATAACCTCGAAATGGACAAATTGTTAGTATATATATGTGTGTGTGTGTGTCTAACTAGTGTAACGGAGTTTTTTTAATGAAAATGAATTGAAATCAATTCTCCTTCTCTTGGTTTCTATCTATGTTCTCTGCTCTGATTTCCTTCTTTTGTTGTTATTTCCATCACTTTTGTTTTCTCTCATGGTATTAGAGCATTAAGCTCCACAGCCTTCGCATTCCCTTCAATCTCCGATGGGAGATCAGGATCTAGCCGATGCCTAATCTGCCTCATTCCTTTCCGCCACTATGGAAAAATTCACCATACCCTCCCCATTGAAGTTTCCCATGTCCAATATCAATCTTATTGTTAACAACCTGCTCAATAATGAGAACTATTCAATTTGGAGACTACAAATCTTCAAACTCTTTGCTGTGAACGGGTTTGAAGGGCACCTAACTAGCAAAACAAGTGAGACCACCGGAGCAGAACCCATCCTCCACTGTAACCACATCAGACTATTGCCTTTGGAATCTTATTGACCATAATATCGTCTCTGCCTTTTTCTTTATTATTTTGCCCTCTATTCTCCCATACATACTCAATCTAAAAACAACCCATGAGATCTGGGTCACTTGGGAGAACCGACTGCAACCCACTAACCATTCTCGAGTCATCCAACTCAAAAATGAACTGCATAATATTAACATGGTCGACAATACCATGCAACAATATTTGTCAAAAATCAAAGCCCTGGTAGATAACATTGCTGCCGCTGGATCCCAAGTTGATGTTGAAGACATCATTCTATATATTTTGAATGGCCTTCTGTCTGAGTACAACTCCTTCAAAACGGACATTCACACCTCCCTCACCCCAATCAAACTGGATGTTCTCTGCTTTATGCTTTGCAGTGAGGAGATCAATATCCAAAATGAATTGATCAAGGATGATTCTGCCTCCAAGGACAACGTAGACTTATATTCCTCCAGCACCAAACCCAACAGAGGGCACCACACCTATCTTTAGTTTTCTCAATCCACTCGAGGTTGCGGTTACCTTTACAGGCCTACATCTCCTACAAGTGGTGGATTAACCCTATTTTCTACACTAAAATCAATCTGCCAAATCTGTAACAAAACTGTTCATACAGCTACCACATGTTGGCATAGATGCAACCTTAGCTACACTCCAGGAACACCTCGGGCCATGTTCACTCATCAACAACTTAGCTCACCAACTGAATGGGGGCTTGATTATGGTGCTTTCACACACCTAACAATGGTTGCCATTAAGATTCAACAACCTCTTCCCTACCAGGGTGCAGACTCCAACTCAATCGCAAATGGCAGCTCCCTTCCCATCCAATACAGCGGCAACAACATTCTTACACTTCCTGAATCAAACGGTAAGTTATTTCTTCGTAACCTTCTTCATGTTCCATCCTTATTACATAACCTTCTTTCCATACATAAACTTACATCTGACAACAACTGTTTAATTTCATTTGACGCATCCAATTTCCTCATCAAGGATCTCTAGGACAATCAAATTCTTCTACATGGTCAGAGCCATTATGATCTCTACCTAGTGTCCACTCGTCAGTTCTCCTAGTTGTTCCCTGCTCCAGCTTATCACCCGCTTCGCAATGGCACGCCCATCTCATCCATCCCCATCAACTTATTATGCATGTTATAGGTAAAATAGATCATTCTCTACGCATTTATTCTCTTCCAATCTTATGCAAATCATATAACATGACTAAAAAGTCATAAATTACCATTCTCTACAAGTTCAAATCATGTTACCACACCTCTAACTCTCATTCACTTTGATGTTTGGGGACTAGCTCTAGTCTCATCCCTTAATGGCTATCGATACTGTGTCATTTTTATTGACGACTATTCAAGATTTTGCTGGCTATTTTAAATGAACATAAAAAATGAAACTCTATCAAAATTTCAACAATTTCTTCACATTTAAGTCAAATAAGACAAACTTACAAACATATCACATACACAAATATTGAACCTAAAATCTTTTGGTTGATAGCCAAAGCTTAGAACACACATCACATCCGCAAACTTTATTAATATATAATCTTAACATTAATATTTAGTATGAATAAAATTAAGGTGATTTTATTTTGCTAAAGCAAGCATTAAGAAGCAGTTTAAAAATACCATAACAATATTATTGTGGTAAATGATTTAAGTTATACAAAATTTAACCATGAAATTTTTGTAAGTTAGGGATATTGCAAAAAGCGATTAAAAACAAAGAATCTACTAATGACGCGTAATATGAGCCCACATTAACCGATTCCGCAGCTTTATATTGCGAGATGAAGGAGATGACCAATAGGAAGAAAACGGGGGTTGGAGAATGGTCGGAGAGTGAATGTGAGGGATAGTCGACGGCAAGGGCGTCGGGCGTCGGGCATCAGGACAAGCTCGCGATGAGCATTTGCGTGTGTACGAGCTCGAGCAGGCGAGGTAAGCGGGCATGCGGATCAAACAGCTTGCGAGGGCTAATCAAACATGGGGATTCCATTTATCCCGCACTAACTCCACTTCTGCTTGAGCAAGGTTAGAGTTCTTCTTTTGCTGGATAAAACTGAATTGCGATTTCCTTTTTTATTTGTTTAGAATTAGGAAAACCCACAGTTTAGTTTTTATTTTAAACTTTAAAGAAAAATTTTAATGGTTTTTCTGCGAGGAAGAGTAAAGTTAGTGAAGAAAAAAACCTAGAATCAAAAAATTTGATTGACTCTTAAAAACCCAGAAAAAAAAAAAAGTTAGTGAAGAAAAAAACCTAGAATCAAATTTGTTAATAGTTTCCCTTCATATTATATAAATATCTAATAAAAATGACTAAAGCTGGAAATTGAATGGCAAATTTTAAGAAAGTTTTAATGAAAATAGTAATAGTTGAATAGACGCAATATATTAAATATAGAATTATAAATTTTAATAAATCAGTGATAATCTACATATTTAAATAAAAATATATATTAATTAATGTGATATAGTAAATTAAACGAAACAAATAACTTAAATGATATATTGCTATATTTAATAATTTAATAATAAATAGAACGTTGAGAAATTAAAGAATTCAAGGAAATATGGTTATAGTTGAATTATAAGAGTAAAGATTAACTAAGCTAAACAATATAATTAAATTAAATTAAATTATATATAGTTAATTAATCAATTAATTAATTGATGTGGATGTCTTAGATGTTATTATAGGTGTTAAACTAACGAAGATAGAGTAAGAGTTAAAGTGGACGACTAAGTACTCTTCTGCAGTTGAGATGGATACTCATATTCCAAATTTATAATAATAAGTTTGCATATTCAAAATCTAATGAATTAATTATTTTTGATAATTATTCAATTAATTATTATTATAAATTTATTTATGATTTATCTCTGTAAGAAAATTAGTTATATTGAAATGAATGACATATTTCTTATAATGAGTGTTTATCATAGGTCATATAATGTTTATTATATAAAAAAGATATGAAATAATTTGAAGAATACAAATGAAATAATTTATATAGGAATGCTTTCATGTGCATGTTAGCTGATTGAATTCACCCATTTATGATATTGCATATCCAAAATCAATTTTCTTTAAACAAAGGTTGAAAAAGCATTTGTGGTTGCATGACAATAGTTGAGAACTTAAAACGAAGAAGTTAATCTACTTGGGCTTCTCTGTATTTTTTGAAAAAGGGTGTGATGGGGAGAGGGCAATCTGAGAGTGCTTTTGTTAGAGAAAAATTATTTTGTGCAGCCTCCGGGCGGTGTTCGGAGACCAATCAGAACGCGTCACATCATTTTTTTGCTTGGTATCGCTGCATATTACGTGACGTGCCGCGTTTTGATTGGTCTCTGGACCATCCGGTGTCTGCACAGAATAATTTCTCCTTATTAGAAGCATTTGACAGAAGATTTTTTTAACATGCAAATAAGATCTAGTGAGTTAAAATTAGCAAAATTAAATAGGATATAAAAACAAGTCTGAGAAGTTGAGATTGAATTTCTGCTCTTAGCTAGAGAAAATCTTTTCTTGTGCGCTCAAACATCACAGGACTTGCTGATGCCACAATGATTCTTGAACTCCCGCATAGAAACAGATGGAAAAGCAATATGTAAACATACTTGAAAAATGAAAATAGCTTAGAATGAAAAGAATTAGCGCAAAGTTTTATTGCACAGTTGCATCTTTTAATACACGATCAATATTCCAGCATGGTTAGTTTTTTAACCAGTTCCAAGTTTGCTAAAGCTCCATAATTTTATTTGTTTTACATTTTCAAACTATTTTTAAAACAAATAAAACTAACATTATCTCTATTTTAATAAACAAAAGAACTGTCATGTCATAATGAAAATTGAACCTGTAACTCGCTCAAACTGTTTCTAGGGGATAATAATATCTATCATGCTGGAACAAGCTTATTTATATTTACCAAGCTCTAAAACTAGATATCAGTATCATAAGTAGTTCTTTTATTGTCATCCAAAACAGCAATTCACTATTCTTATTGTCTGCCAAAAAGATTAGCCACAAATCTTCAAAGCCAATAACAGTATGGACAAACCTCAATATTTACATAACTTGCAATACAAAAACAAAACCTCAATATTTATATTATATATATAAATGATGCTTCTTATGAGCCATCTGTCATTTCTACACAAAGCCTAATATTCCTCAACATACTTTATACAGCTATAAGAAAACAACTCAGACAATAAAATAGCTTCCAAGGTTTCGTTTGGGACGGCTTTCTTACTGCTTCTTAAAAGCTGCTTTTAAGAAGCAGTAAGAAAGCCGTCCCAAATGAAGCCCAAGTCTTCGAATTTTCCTAACCTTCATGCAAGTAAATTATTAGCTTGATAGGCTGATGATAGCATGTTCCCTCCAACCTTCACGCCATTGACACTCTCCAAATTTAGAGACAAATCAGCAATTTGGTTGATCTGGCAATCCTCAACAGCAGGAAAACAGCTTCCTTCCATACCAACCCCTTCTACAAGCCCCATGAAACACTCGGACTCAGCGCACTGCAAGTTCTTGGAAGGGTAAACACCAAGCTCAGCATCAATCTTAGCTCGTAGATCTACCAAAAGGCTCTTCAGCCTAAGAATCTCAGCTTCGAGCGCGGCCTGGCCCTCCAATCTCCTCAAGAGCTGCTGGTTTACATAGCGCAATTTCTTGACTTCCTCCTCCAAGTAAGCTTCATGCGCCTTCTTCTTCTCTCTGTATTTCTTAACAGCTTCTCTATTCCCTGAAAGTTTCTTTGTTGGCTTCTTCAACTCATTTTCTCCACCTAGATCATCTTCATCAGGAGAGAACACTTGCGTATGAGTGTGGTAGCAAGTGTGGGAGTGTGTTGGAATGGCTGGTCCTGGGGGATTGCAAGTGTGGGTATGAGTACATTTCTTGTTGTTCTTCAACTCCTCATAGTTTCCACAGCTTGATCTATGAGGATTGGCTAACAAAGGGTAGCTTGAATGGTCTATTTCTCCATCATCCATCTCACTTGTTTAAGCTGGTCATTCCATTCCAATTCAATGTGAATCAGAATGCAACTGATCCTTCCCACCAGACCTTGATGTATAAAAAAAAGAGCCTTGACCAAATCTACAGGTTTGAGTGCAGGCTATTTAATATAGAAAATAAATGACAACAACAATAAAAAAATAACAATTGTTGATTATTCTGGTAACATTAATACCATTTTAATAAGATTGAACATAATACAATTTTCTATTTCAACAAGCTCAACATATCATAGAAGAATAGCTTGAACTTTATGTAGAAGTTTACTATTGAAATCAAAAGGAACCAAGCAATTTGTTGCACTTCTAAAAAACAATTAGTCCATCAGATTAAGAGGGTGAAGCTAAGAGGTAAAGCATCAGGAAGTATAAAATTTGGGAGTTCAAGAGAGCTTAGGCTAGTATGGGAAATTAGAGCAAGACCAAGTAGGAAATTACTTCGCCTGAGTGAAAATCAAGGTTCAAAAAAGGAACTTGGCGTAGGATCTGCAACTAAACCAAGCGATGCAAGCAGGATAAGAACCTTAATCACTCTTTACTTATAGACTATAGTTGAGCAAAAGAGAACGATTTAACCAAACGGTGCGATCTCTGATGGTTATCGCTCTTAAGAGTGGAAAGCGAGCATCAAAAGAAGGAATTGGCGTCAAAAGTTCTGTCGATGAAGATCAGAAATCACCATAAAGATGAAGCTGAGCATTTTTCTTTCTTTATGGCTCCTTTTCTTCTTCCTTTGAGGCTAACAAAGCTTTGATTCTCCTTTTTCAGAATCTGATAAATAGAAGCCGATTGGTTTGGAAAAGTGAGGAGCAGTAAGTGACCCACCTAGGAAAGCCCATTGGGCTTCAAGTCAACCTCAGGTAACTATGGATTTAAAGGGACTCTAATGTATTGGATTAGAGTGCTTGCCTTGTTAAAATTTATATATATAATTCTGTAAAATGAATCTGTCACAAGTGATACATCTTTTAATTACAATTAAAAAATATATATTTTTTAATTTTCAGTGGAATTTAACATATGCATGACCTGGATTCTGATCCTCTCAATCTAGGGCTAATCATATAATTATTAGTATTATAAAGGTGTAGAAGATGTAATACTGAGCCGCGATACCAAGCGAAGGGATGACAGACGTATTTTAATTGATTTCTGAACGTCGTGCAACATCCACATATAATAATTAATTCATTGGAAGAGCCTATATATAACTAGATCTCCATATGTACGCTTACAAGGCTTTCATGTTTAGTTAAGGAATATGAATAAATAAATATAAATATTTAGATGTTTTTTTTTTTTGAAAAAAAATAATTTTTTGATGTTAATATTAAAAATAATATATGAATGGCAAAAATAATATATGAACGGCGAAGGCAATATTGAATTAACACACCCCGTTACACAAATCTGACGCATTAGTCCGGATCCAAGGGCTGTAAATCATCTTTCTCATTTTCAACGTGCTACTGCATGGGATTTCATACGGGACGCCTGCGCCACCTGGAAGACCCGTGCGCACATGGCCGACCGCAGCGATTCTTTCCCTGCAGAAAGAGCCGTGCAAGTCAAGACTTATCATCCGGAACATCTACAAAACAGACAACAGTCATTTCAGCCAACCAATAGCCTAAAAAATTCGAGCTTGAGATGGGACCACTTTGCCTCTAAAATCTCTCAGCCCAACCCTTTATAATAGCTCTTTATTGCTTCAGAGGCAAAGGAAGAGACCAGAGAGAGACGAAAGGGCGATTTTGTTATATTTCCGGTTCCGATTTTTAGGTAAAAGGAAAAACAATTGAACTTTTCTGTTTTTTTGATCAGTTGTTTATCTGTTTCATCACTAAAATTTTAAATTTTTTTTATTGAATTTGCATAACAAGTTGATAGTATTCTGAAAGTAAATTTAGGTATTTATTTTTCCCCGGAAACTGATCTTACTTGATGCTTGTTTTCAGTTGGAAGTATAAAAGGTCAAGTTTGTTTTTTTTTTCCTTTCAGCTGAATGTAGAGTAGGATCTCAGAAATTCCTAGAAAGGATATGTGTATGCGGAAATTGTTCGAAGTTCTTTCTTGTTTCTGGGAGAAAACGAGGTTTTGTTTTGATGTTTCTATGTCAGATTTGATCCTAAATGAGGATCAAACAAGTTGTTTTCTTTTTCTGTCCAGATTGAGGAAGAGGAAAACATGAAATGAAATAATTAATCTAAGCGTACCTAATTCTTTCAGTTTATAGCTTTCCTTGATTTTTCTGGGCAATAAACTATTTCCTGTTGTTTGATTACGGGAAATAATTAGTTTCAATACCATTATTCTTCATCTTTCTGGAGTTCTTGATTAGTTAAGTGAAGTCTTCTTTCCCTAATATAACGAAGACTATGATTTTTTGTTTCCCATGCCCGTCCAAAATAAAAAAAAATCCTAAAATAGATTAGTTGGCATTCTACTCTATTAACTTTTAGGTCAAGCTCTTCAAATTGTTTTCAGTCTATTCAAGAAGTAGGTTATTGTGTAAATTTTCAGGCAGTAGTAGAAAACCTAAGTAAACTTTTACTTTAAAACATATAAACGTTGTTATGAAAATCATTACTTTATACAGGCTTGTGGGAAAAATTAAAATAAATAATTCTTCACCTACGAGTCTGGTAGACATCTTAGATTTATTGTTTGTCTACTGTGTGCCTCAACAGCATCTCTTTATTTTTACATTTAAAGGCCATGAACATGCATATGCTATGATCATTTTAGTTTTTCATCCTATCTCCTCTTTGTTTTTTTGGGCCATGAAATGAATGTGTTATGATTATATATTAATTGAAATTGGTGTCATGAGTGCATGCCTATAGTTCATCTAATGCAGTTTACATTGAAAATTTCTATTAATGTTACGTTGTCGTAAAAGCTTTTTTTTTTAATGATTTTATGCTGGGAACTCTTATTAAGATAAGACCAATGACACTTCACCGCCCTTGTTTTTTTTTTTCTTCAGATAATACTTAGTCTTACCTATTTTACTTTTTTTTTCTTGGTTACGAACCTGTTCTGAATCAGTCTTTCTTTCTTTATTTGCTGATGTTTTATTCATTCCAGGACTGATATTTTGCAAGACATGGAATTGCTTCCTCTCAGTCATCCTTTGCCATATAAATTTAATAGTTCTGATGTGAAATTTATAGAGAATAGGCTCAGTTCGAAGCAATCCAAATTCTTCCCTAGTGGGCAAAGAAAATGTTCATCCTCTGTTTTGAAATGCTCTTTTAGTCTGAGGAGATCAGATCAAGAATCTTATGAGATCAATAATTTAGATGAGAAAGAGGGGATCAGGCTGCTAAGTTATCTTGAGGGGCTTCATAGTCAAGATATTGCAACGGCCAGGGATGGAACTTGTAACTGCCATGTAGTTGATGGAAATGTGAGATTAAAAAATGTTCCGAAAGTTGATCAAACTGAAAAAATTGTAATTCCAAGCTTGCCCAATGATTCAAATGGCAATCATGGTTCTCAAATTAGTAGTTGTTATTGGGAATGGAAGCCAAAATTGTCAGTGCACTATGAGAAATCTGGAACTGAAAATATTGGTGCTCCAGGAGTGTTATTTCTGCCTGGTTTTGGTGTAGGGGCTTTCCATTATGAAAAGCAATTGAAAGACCTAGGTCGTGATTATAGAGTATGGGCACTGGATTTCTTAGGACAAGGCATGTCATTGCCTTCTGAAGACCCTGCTCCTTGTTCTCATAACGCCAATTCTGAGGAGCCACATGCAAAATGGGGATTTGGAAATGAATCAGAACCTTGGGCTACTGAGTTGGTATACTCTATAGATCTATGGAGAGACCAAGTTCAGCAATTTGTAGAACAGGTATGTATTTTGGGTGCCAAATTAGATTATTTGGAATTTTCCTCTTGGATATCTTGTGTTTGTTTATATGTTTTGATAGTTTTTAAAAATAAGCTACTTCTGGAATCCTCTGGAAAGAGTTCTTGAAGAAGGTAAACTAGTATTGTCCTTCCAAAACATATTTATAGTTTTGGATAATATTCATGTTATCCCGCTCCTTTCTTTCTTTCTTTTTTTCTTGCGTGCATGGTTATGTTTGTCTACTTGTGAATTATTGCATTGTGTGATGGAAACGGATTGACAACTGCTGTGCAGTATGATGCAATTTATCATGCAACATTTGAATTTCTATCCAGTGCTTTACGTGGGGATTAATCATCTTACTTTTCCTGTTACCATCATTGACACCCTTATTATTGAGCTCTACTAGCTTCCATGAATCACCTTAATGTTGACCTATCTAATTTCCTGTTCACTAAATCGATCCACTTATACGTAGAATTAGATATTGTACTTGCCTTCTAAGCCTTGCAAAGTGTCCGAATTATCAAGCAGCGACTCGGATGACCATTTATTGAAAGCAGTGGAAATGAATTAAAATATTTTATGGTTGGGAAATACTTGTGAAAAGACCAATATGATTTGATGCTTAGACCTGGGGTGTTAAAAAGCTCAATGTTTACAAACTACTCCTGTCAAGCTCATTTGCTAAGTAACCGGGCGGTGAGCCGGTGAGCCAAACACAGTTAAGAACCAACTCGGTTATGCTTTTCTCTCTCTCTCTCTCTCTATCTGTATACATTTGTGTAAATTTCATTTTTAACTCATGTATTTTGGTATTCAAAATTATTGAATGTGTTCTAAATGTAATTTACAACACAGTTTTTAAGTTCTAAGATGCTTTTAAAGCCTTGAACCATGAAACCTCAAACTTTTTTCATAAAATCTAAGCTATCAATTCAAAAATTGTTGATGCATTTGATGGTCAAACTTTGCTTGTTGTTCATGACGGGCTTGATTATAAACAATAATAAAAAGAAAAATATTTTTCAGCTTTTTAATAATCTTGTGCTAGAACCAAGCAAAGGCAAACCCAAATTCATTCATTTTCCGCTCTTTAACACGCCTTGCTAAGATACAATATATTATCCACTTATTCCACTTTCTTGAATGCACAAAAATTGAGATTCATGTAAATTTATAATTTTTTAAGAACTTTTTAATAGGTTTATTGATTTTAAGATAATGTTTACCTCCATCCACCCATCTGCTTGCTTTTCTGCTAAGCTGTTACCTTGTTACTCTTTTCCTTGTCCTTCTTTATTGCATATCCTTCTCTATCTCCCCCCACTGTTTTTTGGTTCCCCTGTAATCTTCTACAAGTGTATTTGTATATTTAACATGTATTATTGCATTTGAATTTTCCAATTTGACGATGTATATGTGATGTTGAATGGATCAAATATGGTCTTATCGGGCACCAGCCTAATTAGGCTTTGTGTCGCTCAAGTCGTTGCCTCTTGATAGGATCCTTCAAAAATAAGATTCTCTTTTTCATCCGCATGATTGAGGAAGGTGCTAAAATCCAGATTTGACTCTAATAGTATATCACCATTAGTTAGTGTATTACCAGGAATATCAAAACCTGCTAGTAGCTACTTGCTCACTGCTACATATAAAAATTGAATTTTAAATTCAAAATTTAAGTTTTTTAGTTTTCAACTGGGGTGGGAGGGTGAATACGCCTTAGTTGTGTCATTTGACGAGTACATCTTGCTCTTATGGACAATCATTAAAGCTTATGAACTATATTGCATGCCCTCCAAAATCTTGTTCTGGTCTTATTAGGTCTTGTTGGACTTCATGAAAGAGTTATCAATTTTCTAATTTTTTAATCTTTGCTTGAGCCCTCTTATTTTGATACTCTTTGATGATAAATGAATTGAACCCTCCTTGAAGCCCTTCACCTCGAATAGGGCCCTAAAGATGCTCTTGTTCTACTTTTCCCTCTGCATGTGGAGGAAGACGATTCTCGCAAATGAATTTGGCATCATCTGAGCAGAAATCTCTCTCTAGAAATTTAGAAGCACTGTTCATTGTCTTAATAGTTATTATGGAACTCGCTCATGATAGGCTCAATGAGAACCATGCTTTAGCTCCACTAAAAGAAGACATATACTCCTTTCCTTTATTGAAGATTTAAGGTGCCACCGTGCCTTCACAAAATTCTTTAGATATTTAATGATTGAAGCTACCATCTTTGAATAGTAATGGATAAGAAGATGCAAGGGAAGCAGGAAGATTTATAATGAGTGAAAAACCTAAATATGAAACAAATGCCTTATTAATAGACAAGGGAATAACCCTAAATTGCTATATCACATAAAAACAGTTGGTTCACTGAATCTTAATTATTTTAGTTTAATCTCTGAAAAAGTTTTGTTATTATTATGTATTTTCTCAGGATGCTAAGTGATGAGCATCGAGAACCTCCTTTTACTTGGTCAAATCTACTATCGCAATGGTAAAGAGATGACTTCAAATCTGAAGGTTCGATTTAACATAAAAGGAACAACTTCAAAGAGAATGTCTAACTTCATGGTAGTGAACTTCCTTCTGAAGGTCAAGTTTCACATAAACAAGGTCAAATAACCAAAATAAATTACTAGAAGAATTAAGATTTAACTTTATCTCATCACCACAAATAAATTCAAATTAAAACTAATTTTTCATTTACGTTAAGATAGAAAATTTTTAATACTTCAAGCTGAAAAGAAAGTATTAGAGTTTATCAGTTAAACTAATATCTTTTCTTTCTTAATATCAATCTTCTTGCGAGTTCCATCACAAACTTAAAAAGAAAAAAAGAGACAAATTTGACTTCAAGGCTTCAGTCATGCTTCGAAGCATGCTTGGGCTGTTAGCAGAACTTCTTAACTCTTTGAAAACAGACAACAATGCCTTCGATGAAAATATTGACCTTTATATTCATCAAAAGCACACATTAATCTTTAAATTTCTTGAAGTTATTTATTTTTTATATTGGTTCTTTTTATTTTGTCAGATCTGTGTTGGAGCGCATGACAGTGATAATAGTAAAACAAAAAGTTGTATTTTATTTCCTAGTTTTAAGAAAGTTCATATGCTTGTATGATTTTAGTCTTGATTGGGTTTAATTTAATTTCATTTGTTTTCTCTTTTCTTACATAATTTTTAATTTTGGTTAAAAAAAAGTCATTTTGTTGTTCATTTGGTTTGTTGATTTCATTTGTTTCGAAATTTTAATTGAGATTCTTGGACATTTACTATAATTGCATTATTAATTGTGCTTCAACTCTACTCTTCTATGTTTTCTTCAAGTAAATTTGATATAGTTGGGAACTAGTGACCTGTTAATCCTCTATTTCTTTTTCATGAGAGCATATGCCACCTCATATTAGCGGCATTATGAAGCCCAACCCTGAGTTACACTGAGTTGAATTTTACCTTTAGGACTACTTTAATCACTCACTTCTCTTTAATTTCTAGCAATTTCTGCTTTTAAAAAAATGCACATTTTTTCGTTTGTGCCACCTACCACTTCATTTGCATGCAAATCGTAGTAGGACCACAATAATTGCAGTAATTATATCTGTTGCTTGTGATGATTCATGCATTATAGAAGCATGCTAATATAAACGTTTTTGGGTTGCCTTTGGCTTTGATTAGCTTGATTAACAAAACCTTATTTTGTTTATTTTATGTTGTAGGTCATTGGTGAACCAGTTTATGTGGTGGGCAATTCCCTTGGTGGTTTTGTTGCTATGTACTTTGCAGCTTGCAATCCACAGCTAGCTAAGGGGGTTACATTACTTAATGCAACGCCATTTTGGGGATTTCTACCCAACCCCATTAGGTCACCTAGGTGGTCCAGAATCTTCCCATGGGCTGGGACTTTCCCTTTACCTTCGAGCGTGAGAAAACTAACTGAGCTCGTGTAGGTATTTGGTTTGTTTCTCAATGAACTTTTAGTTACCTATTCTGCTGCTTATTGTTGACTTATGAACTGAGCATTGTTTCTTTTATTAGCTGACTTCTTTTCATGAATCTGAGCCTTGCGTAGTAGAAGTTGAAATGATTATGCGTTCTGAGACTTGAAAAACCTTTGGAAGCAGGGATATAGAGTGATTTTTCAGTATCATATATGGTTAGATTAGGAAGTTGATTTCAATTTGGACAGTGCTGTCTCTATTTCATATATGGTTCTGCTATGTATATATATTACCAAATGGGCTCTGCAAATATGTGACAGGAACCAGAAAATGTGTTGATTCTATTTGTGTATTTATTGCATCTATGGGCAGATTTGTTTGCTCGAAGTTGGAAAACAGGCCTTAAAAAATAACGAATTTGCTAGATTTCATCATCTTGGTTGATATAGTCATAACTTAGTAAGGATTTCCAACTTTATGAGCCTCTTGAAATCCCTTTAAAAGTGAGAATTCATTTTCAAAATCAAAATGAGATCAAAAAAATCATTATTGTAACATGTTTTTCATTTACAAGCAACCAAATGAGCCTTAACAGCCTTTTAAATTTTTAAACGCAAAAGAATGAAATATTTTTTCTTTCTATATAACTCCAGTTTTACCACTTATTTATTCAATTACCATGGTTTTCTTTTTGATGGTAGAGGAACACTCCACCTTAGGCCTATACTTTTCAATGGATCGTACAGCTTAGTTTTTCTCAACAAATATTCTGAGTGCTGCAATTGTCAATTCTCTATTTTTTTCTAACTTGGCGTCTATTCACAGTTTTGGACTTGATTTGATTTGCAATTTTGTTTGCTCCAGATGGCAAAAGATTAGTGAACCCAGTAATATAAAGGAAATATTGAAGCAAGTCTATGCTGACCATTCAACTAAGGTTGACAAAGTCTTTTCTCGTATTCTTGAAATAGTACAACATCCAGCAGCTGCGGCTTCTTTTGCTTCCATTATGTTTGCTCCCAGGGGTCAACTATCTTTCCAGGAGGCATTGACTAGGTATGGAAAATACTCGGTTATCTTTCCTCCATTACATTGTTGATTTTTTTTCACTGGGTACTTTTTTAAAAGAATTAGCCTTATAATGTTACTGATTTGATCTGAAATTATTGCAATTTATGTTTTAACTGGTTGCCTCTCCTTTCAATAAAGCTGTCTTTCCTCTATTACTAACTATTAATTTTTTATTTTTTTTGGGTTCACTTTTACTGTTGAGTTATTCTTTGAAGGAAGTAGCCGTTAATGTTTACTTATTTAAAACATGAAATCATTGCAATTTACATTTTAACTGGCGGCTTCTCATTTCAATAATTGTTTGTCCAGATGTGATCTGCAAAATGTACCAATCTGCCTTATGTATGGCAAAGATGATCCCTGGGTTAGGCCAATTTGGGGCCTTAAAGTTAAGCGTCAGATACCACAAGCACCTTACTATCAGATTAGTCCTGCAGGGCACTGTCCTCATGATGAGGTTCCTGAGGTATTCAACTCTTTTTTTTTGCCATAGTCTCGCAGTTTTGATCTGTTCCTTGGATTTATACCTTTTTTGAAGCTAAAAGTTGGCCATCAGTTTTTATCATGATGTCTTTTGATCTTAAGCATTGGACAACTTTTTTATTGCTGCTTAAAGAAACTTTTTAAAACAAAAATTAATTTATTTGTGCTAAAAAACTTATTTTAAGAAGCAGTAAGAAAATCGTCCCAAACGAAGTAACATTAAATATATGACACGACCTGAAAATCCGATTCGAACCTGACTCGAAAATTGCGGGCTAGGATTAAACTAGACCCAAAATGGGTCGGGTTCAACAAATCGACCAGTTTCAAAAATCGGGTCGTGTTGACCCATTAACCCAAAGTTGACCCGATTTTTGACACGAAAACCCATTTGGACTGAAAACACAAGATTGACCCGTTTTGACCAGAAAATTAGTAATTTTTGGTTGATCCTTGGTCATTCGGGTCATGTCGGGTTGACCCGGACCCGAAGTGGTTCCAGTTCGGGTCCGAAAAATCGATTAGTTTGCAAAAAAATGGGGCGGGTTTGGGTTGACCCAAATAGTGCCGGGTCAATTCTGGATTCGATTCGAACCCTACCCGTGAGCCAAAATTGACACTCCTACATTAATGTCCTCTTTCACCTCAAAATACCTTTTTAGGAAATTACAGTGATAAAAGTTTATAAGTTGTTCAATTCTTCTCATCAGGTTGTGAACTATCTGCTGCGGGGGTGGATAAAGAGCCTGGAGTCTGAAGGATCTCTCTCATTGCCTCTCCTTGAACAGCCTGAACTTACTGAGAAGATATTCTCCAGAGAAGTTGAATACATCAGAGAAGAAGGAACTCGGAAATCGGTTCGAGTTCAGTATTTTGGATCGAAGGTTTCCTTATGGGGTCAGATGATGTCTTCCCTCACTTCAAGCTCTGCAAAATTTTTGTCCAATGGTAGATAATGCCTCCATTCCATCACACCATTCACACAGGTCTTTGTAAATTTTGTATTTGTGTGTAATATTTTTTTTTTATTTTTAGTTGAAAGTTAAAGAATTACAAGTATTGATTCCATAATTTGATGGTTTTCTTTTCAGAAAAAGTTAAAAGGAATGCTTACTGAGAGTCTACTAAGTAAGAAGAACAAATAATTTTCATATATGATTAATTGAGACTTAGAGTTTTAACTTGTTTTAATTTAGGCTTTGTTTGGGATGATTTTATTATTGCTTCGTAAAGCATCTTTTTACTACAAAATTTTTAATTTTTTAATTAGAAAGTTGTTTTAAGAAATAATAAGAAAGTCGCCTAAAATGAAGCCTTTGTATTTTGATTATATAAAATTGATATGTAATGATTCCTTTGGGTTTAAATTGAGAATTAATTTAGTTCCTCTTATAATTTATTGTTTTGAGTTCCTAAACCTAATATTACTACACTATAGAGTTGTAACTATTTTTATTAAGAAAATGAGCATATAAAAAAAATCAAATTATACATCAATGTAATATATATATATATATAATGTATCTTAATGTTCTTTAGAAATCCAAATTCATATTTTTATAGATATAATTTTGAAATTCATTGCAATTCAAAACATTATAATAAAGATACAAATAATATTCATTGATATAAATTATTCTTAAATTCTAAAGAAATTTAATTGATGTGAAAATAAATTAACTAATATTCTACATAGCTAAATATGAATAAAGATATATGATGTAATAGAATAACTATTTATATTCCTAAATTCAACACTATTAAATACTTCATCTTCTATATTATTTTATTATTGTTGTATATAAATTGTTGATTATTTTTTGTTATAATTTTTAGGGGATTTTATTGATAAGGTAGAGTTATAGTGTGCAATGCTGGAAAAACACCAGGCTTTGCTAAAAACTGAGTTCGAGTTTAAGTCAACAATAGTTTATTTTAGGCATAGTTTTTTTTACTGCTTTCTAAAGCAATTTTCTAATGCAAATTTTTTTTAAAGGAACGATAAAATAGTGATAAAAAGTTATTCTAAACGAAACCTCAAACTTTGTTTGGAGCAGCTTTCTAGCATAAAAATTTTTTTGTAATAAAAAGCTACTTACTAAAATAGTAAGAAAGCTGATCCACACGAAGCCTTAGTATATTTGTTGAGAGTTTAGGCTCTAATCGTTAGATCAGTGGGTTAAAATTTTGTATATATGATTGTCTGTGTGAGTTTATGATTGAATTTGCTCTAAATTTTGTAAAAAAGGGAGCTATTGGGAGGCTAATTTTCAAGTTAAACTATACAATTGATTATTAGAATTATCAAGCTGGTAGGTAAGACTAGGAAAAAAATTATCAGCAAATGGGGTTTATATATGGGATGCCATAGTCGGCCTGTCATCTCTGTGAATGCCAAATGGTACTAATCAGCATCGAATGTGACAATTTTCCCCTGCTAAAAAAGCCTGGTCTAATGATGATTTGTTCATTAAATTTATATGGAAAGAAGGCTCTTCAATAAAACAAAGTAAGCTCCTGACTATAATTTTGTTGTATATTTTGGGTGATGCAATCTGGATATAAGAAATATATATCATATTCACATGTGTCAGTTTAATCAAATTATTATATGCTATGAATCAGATTCAATAACTCACTAGTTTTAAGCAAACATAGACTTCGTTTGAGACAGCTTTTTTAAACGTCTTTTTAATACATCAATTTCAAATTCAAGAAATTTTTGTACTGGAAGCTATTTTAGAATACAAGAAGAAAGCCGTTCCAAACGAAGCTCTAATATTTGTCAATGTCGAAGTTATCCAATGTTTGTTTGTTTGGGACGATTTTTTTTACTGTTTCTTAATTCAAATTTTTAGTACTAATTTTGTACTAAAAAACTACTTTAAGAGAATAAAAAACCCTTAAAAAAAAAAGCTGCTTTAAGAGGCAATAAAAAACCTGTCCCAAATGAAACCTAAATCATTCAAAAATATATTGTTAGTATTGTTGTGTTAGTCACAAACTAAGAGTTTGTTTGAGTCAACTTTCTTCATGTTTTACTTTTTTAGACCGCACCTAAAATTTTGTTTGGCTACAGCTTTTTCATTACTTTTTCAAAATTTTTGTACTTAAAAAAAAAAATACTTTTCCTGCACCAGCTTTTAATCCATCTTAATAAAAGATCACAACCATCCCAAACAGACTCTTAACTAAAAATTAGAATGATTAGATTGCACCTTCGAATGCAAGCCATCATAGTAGAGGCCGAGATGGCAAGTTTTAATTGTAGGGCTAAGGCTCCATGTGCAATTGCCATATTTCATAAACCAAATTCAATAACTAGCTTGTTTTAAACCAACATCAAGGTTAAAAGTACATCAAGAAGTCGCTGAGAGAGAGAATTCTTATATATATATAATCCAATTGAATCCGGTTAAATTCCGATTAAACTTTGAAACTTTTTTTTTTCCGGTTCAATTTGAAGAACTTTGCTATAACTAGAGAATCAAAGATGGCACGAAATCATTTTCATACATGCAATGTTAAACCTATGAAGGCGTAGAGTTGACACAATGTGGATCAAATAAATACAAGTAGATGGACGAAACAGCTAGAAAGAAGCCGCGCCAAATAATCGCCCCCGTTTTGGCAATGGGGGGCAACAACCACTACTATCAGGATAGGTAATCATCATCTCCATAAAATTTAAATTTCATTTCATTTTATTTTAATAATTGCTTCAAATTAGACTAAACATGTTGCGTCCTGGAGTATTCGTGGCGGGAGAGAAATATAAAATTTATGATCTTAGCTTTATAGAAAGATCCAGAACACAATAAGATAAAAGATGGGTATAATGTTCATATGGTCTTAGCTTTATAGAAAGATCCAGAACACAATAAGATAAAAGATGGGTATAATGTTCATAAGAGACATCATAATTTTTATGTGAAAACCCTCTCAAAAAGGGGAAAAATCATTGGGATTGACCCGGTTTAAATGAATCCATTAGTGTTTGCAGTCGATTATAAATGAAATCCTTCCTTGGGGAGAAGACTTTGGCATGATGTAACAAATATACATCATATAGAGTGCATCACATGGTGAGAATTAAAATAATCAATATTGACATGTTTGTTTGGTCGACATGGCCATAGTTGGTGGGAGAGGGAGGTCGAAAAAACAATTGAAGGACCGTAGTTTGATGACAAAGGTCAGAAGGAATGTAGTTGGCGAGAAACGATGGTCAGAAAGACCGTTGTTCGGTGACGGAGGTCGGAAGGGCCATAGTCGATGGACGAAAGTGGTTAGAAAAATCGTTGTATAACAACGAATGTCGGAAGGATCGTAGTCGGCGAGCGACAATGGTAAGAAAGACTATAGTCTGGTGATGGAGATCAGAAGGACTATAGTCTGGTGATGGAGATCAGAAGGACTATAGTTAGTGGACGACAATGGTTAGAAAAACTATTTTCTGGTGATGGAGGCCAAAAGGACTGTAGACGGCGAGCGAAAATGGTCAGAAAGACCGTTGTCTGGTGATGGAGGCTCGAAGGATTGTAATGGGCGGGAGAAAGTGGTTAGAAATACCGTTGCCTGGCAACGAAGGTCACAATGACCGTAGTCAGGAGGTGACAATGATCAGAAAGACCATTGTTTATTGGATGGACTGTAGTCGACATGGGACAGTGGTCAGAAAGACCGTTATCTAGTGATGGAGGTTAGAATGACTGTAATCGGCGGGTTACAGTGGTTAGAAAGATCGTTGTCAAGCGATGACGGTCAGAAGGACTGCAACTAGCAGGTTACAGTGTTCGAAAGACCGTTGTCTGGCGACTTAGGTCGGATGAGCCGTAGTCAACAAGTGACAGAGGCAAAAAAGACCGTTGTCTAACGACAGAGTTCGGATGGATCGTAGTCGGCCGGGGACAATGGTCAGAAAGATCGTTATTTGACAACTGAGGTTGGTAGGGCCCTATTTGGAGGACAACAGTTGTTAGAAAGACCGTTGTTTGACAATGAAGGTCGAAAGGATTGTAGTCGGCAGACACCAATGGTCAAAAAAATCGTTGTTTGGTGATGAAGATCAGAAGGACCGCAATCAA